CACAAAAAGGATACAAATGTTTTTCTCATTCTCTTAACCGTTATTTTGTGTCTGCAAATGTCACCTTTGATGAGTTTTCTTTTTATTTTAAAAGTCAATCTTCACCTCTGTCTCCATCCAATCTTGTCAACACTCCTAATACATTTAATGTTCCTGTTGTTTATGACCCTCTAACTGTGTCTTCTTCACCATTAGTTTCTGTTCCGCAGTCAGCTTCTTCTTCACTGCCTCTTCAGGTTTATAGTTGTCGAAACCAATCACAACCACCACCATGTGACTCTACTCAAGTGCCAACTACTCAGTCTCCTTCGGATGTGACACCTGAGTCTGACCTTCTCATTACCCTCAGAAAAGGTATTCGTTCTACACATAATCCCTTTCTCCATTATATTGGTTTGAGTTATCATCGACTGTCATTACCTTTTTATACATGTCTTTCCTCTCTTTCTTCTGTGACCATTCCAAAAACTGTTCGTGAAGCTTTAACCCATTCTGGTTGGCGTCAGACCATGTTAGATGAACTAAGTGCTCTTCATAATAGTGGAACTTGGGAATTGGTCTCGTTACCGTCTGGGAAATCTGTTGTTGGTTGCAGGTGGGTGTTGAAGCACTTGGTGGATTTGATGAAGACTTAGATATAATTTGATGAAGACATAAATTTAGTTTAGGTTGTGGGTGTGTAGATGATTAGGTTTTTTAGCTTGAGCACTTAATCCCTTGATAGGCCATTATATGTTGTGATGAAGCGCCTTAATCTTACGCATAGCATTGAAAATCATTTTCTCGCATTAAAAGAACAAACTAAGTTTTTCAATCTGTTGAAAAAGATTTTCAATCGGTTAAAATCACTTAACGAATAAGTGGTTCTATATAATCGTATTTTCAATTGATTGATTCGCAGAATCAACAAGTTAAAATAACTTAGTAAATTTCTCAATATGAAGGTTTCGGAAAAACAATCAATTGAAATACTTTTTAATCTGTTGAAAAAGAAAGATATTTTTCAATCTAAGAGTTTTCGGAAAAACAATCAGTTGAAACGTTTTTCAATCTGTTAAAATAAAGATATTTTTTAAGTCTAAGAGTTTTTAGAAAATCAAATCTGTTGAAATATTTTTCAATCTGTTGAAACAGAGAGACTATTTTTTAACTAAGTATTTGCGAGAATTTAATCTGTTGAAATGATTTTCAATCGATTGAAACAGAGTGCTTGTCATTTTTCATTAAGTTGTTTTAATCCATTAAAACTCGAATCAATCGATTAAATGGAACTTTAAATGAAATCAATCGATTGAATCGATGTCTTAATCGATTAAATGGAACTTTAAATGAAATCAATCGATTGAATCGATATTTTAATCGATTGAAATAATATTCTGATCGATCATAGTTTCATTTTAATCGATCATAACTTCGGTCTGATCGATCATACTTCAGTTCTAATCGATCATAACTTCGGTCTGATCGATCATACTTCGGTTCTAATCGATCATAACTTCGGTCTGATCGATCATACTTCGGTTCTAATCGATCGAGTCTCTTCTAAACTGTTTTACTTTAAACTAATCGATCTTTTGACTCTCGAAACAGTTTTTGACAGTTGAATCGATCTGATTCTATGATTTACTCTATATATACAGATTTGATCTAACTTTTAATACAATACAATACAATACAACACACTACTTGAGAAAACTTGAGAAATCAATCTGTGAATCGTTCATCTACGTTTTTCTCTCGCATTCAAGATTTTGTCATATCATAAGGTGCTTTGATCAACATTGTGGTCATTCACAGCGAGAGAGTGCTTTAGAATTGGTGCTTGGGCAATTAGAATTCAAAGTCCAGGTTTCTTCTTTCCTTATTCTTTTGTATCGTGTGAATTGTGTAGATTGGATTGTAATCTACACTTGGTACAATGAATCGGATTTGGTTACTCGGGTGTTTTTCAAGATTCTATCTTATAGGTTGAAAAGATAGTTCTTGGTGTAGATTGGTGAGGATCTACGGGTTGTAATTGTCACTTGGTATTAGTGGAAACTTGACAGGTTTTGTCAAGAACTGGACGTAGCTCTGGATTAGAGTGAACCAGTATAAATTTGTGTGTTGATTTCCTTCTATCATCTCTTTTAAATTCTGAATATAATCCTGCTGTGTTTTAAATCAAATCATCTTTTCAAGAATTGAATAAAGATAACTCATTCTTTCAAAAGAAAGTAAAGTTTTGCGAAAAAGTTTTTAAGTTCAATTCACCCCCCCTCTTGAACTCAACCATTAATTCTTTCAGGTGTTTGCTATCAAAGTTGGACCTGATGGTACTATTGATCGCCTCAAAACTCGTCTTGTGGCCAAAGGTTATACTCAAAATTTTTGGGTTGGATTATGGAGATATCTTTTCCCCCATGGCAAAGATGACTTCTGTTCGTTTATTTATCGCTATGACTGCTCTTCAACAATGACCTCTTTATCAACTAGATGTTAAAAATGTTTTCCTCAATGGTGATTTGCAAGAAGAAATCTATATGGAGCAACCTCCTGGGTTTGTTGCTCAGGGGGAGTCTTTTGGGATGGTATGTCATCTTCGCAAATCCCTATATGACCTAAAACAGTCTCTTAGGGCCTGGATTGGAAAGTTTAGCAAGGTTGTTCAACAATTTGGTATGACTCGGTGTGAAGCATATCACTCTGTCTTTTATCGACACTCAAGTGCTGGATGTTTTTACTTGATAGTATATGTTGATGACATCGTTCTTACAAGTAGTGACAACCATGACATCTCTCAGTTGAAACAACATCTCTATCACCATTTTCAGACCAAAGATCTTGACAAACTTAGATATTTCTTGGGTATTGAGGTGGCACAGTCCAATGATGATATTGTTATATCTCAGAGGAAGTATGCCATGGATATTTTGGAGGAAACTGGGTTGATGAATTCAAAGTCTGTTGATACACCCATGGATCCCAATACTAAACTTCTACCAAATCAGGGGGAGCCTATATGATATGAATCACAAGGGGTAATTTAGGATCTTTAGGGTTAGAACCTTGTAAGAAATTTAGGAATTAGAAAGAAGGTGGAAGGAAAGAATCACTCTTCCCAAGGGAGGCAACACACAAAGGATGTGACAGTCCTTTGATACAGCCAAATATTCTTGAATCACTCAAGAACTTAGGAGAATCACTCTCACTAAGATAAAAGAGGTAAACTTTAATATTTCTAAAAATAAACTCAACTTGTTATTTCTGATAAAAATGGTTCAACTAATATAGAAGCGTTGCAATCAGAATTACAAAAGACTCAATAAAAGAAAATAAATACTAATAATAACCCATTAATCTAGGAATTGAAAACTATTTAATGGAAACAAATAAAGACTAATAATGATCCATTAACCTAGGAATTGAAACTGCTTAATGACTGATTGTATCTAAAACTGTGGCAACCAAAAGTCAATCAGTTATGCACCCCTTGGTCTCCCAAAGGCTGATGACTAAATTTTCAATTGGGCCCTTATTACAACTTAAAACAAAATCAAACTAAAGCCCATTAATTGATTAATTCAAAACATAATTTGGTCAACCAACAATATTTGTTGAAGAGCTTCATTTATTTCCCTTGCTCTAGCCCTTATCATAGGTCATGTTCACATCACTATACCTGATCCTGAGTAGTATAGAAGATTGGTTGGAATATTGAATTATCTTACAGTTACTCATCCTGACATTTCCTTTACAGTCAGTGTGGTAAGTCAATTTCTTAATTCCCCATGTGAAGATCATTTGAATGCGGTCATTCGTATCTTAAAGTATATTAAAGGATCTCCTAAAAAGGGATTGTTATATGATTCTAATAACCATACAAGAGTTGTTTGCTACTCAGATGCTGATTGGGCAGGATCTCCTTCGGATAGAAGATCTACATCTGAATATTGTGTCTCCATTGGTGGTAACTTGGTCTCATGGAAAAATAAGAAATAGAGTGTTGTGGCAAGATCTAGTGCAAAAGCAGAATATAGAGCTATGACTTCAGCTGCCTGAGAACTTGTTTGACTCAAGCAATTGCTTAGAAAGTTACAATTTGGAGATGTCACTCAAATGTCACTTGTGTGTGACAATCAGACTGCTCTTCATATTAGTTCTAATCTTGTCTTTCATGAGAGGACCAAACACATTGAGATTGACTGTCATTTCATTCGAGAAAAGATTATGTTTGAAGACATCAAAACTGAGTTTGTTAGCAGATATTTTTACTAAATCTTTACGGGTCATAGAATTGATTATATTTGTAACAAGCTTGACACATACGATTTGTATGCTCCAGCTTGAGGGGGAGTGTTAGATATTGTTTAGATATTATTTGATATTGTTAAGATATTGTTAGATATTGTTAACCACAATATCAAACAATATCTTCTGTTTATTCTGTTACTTTCAGTTACTCTTTTAGTTATATCTCTCTACTATAAATAGACTACCCTATGTGTGATTTATACACAAGGGAGATTAATCTGAAACTCTATTTCTTCTATATTCAACATTGTTATTATAAATCAAATGAATATGTATAATCTATAATCATTATAATTAATACCACCTAAACAATGTTTTATATCTCATATTTTGAAAATTAATGATATACTATAATAAATTAACAGATTGAGCAATGCTATTATAATCAGTAAATGAATGATATTATGGTTGTTCAAATAATTTTGTTGTTATTTTTAATTACTATTGGTGCTTGTAAATAAAAATCTACATGAAATTTAAGAGGGTTTAAGAAATAGAGTTCCAAAATGTGAGATAGTAATGGAATAAATTAAATTTGAATTAAAATAAGGGGATGGATAATAAATCGGGCTGGCGAGGCGAACCACAAAAAAAAAAAAATGAAGAAGTGATTGCCCGCGGGGCGAAGGGAGAATTTCCGGAATCATCATCGTCCATCCTTTGTGTTCGGTGTGGGAGTGGAGCATTCGTATCTCATATCTCATATCATGCCCACCACTCTCTCACTTCCATGCCTCTCCTCTTCTCTCTGCACACACATTCACACTCACACCCTCACTCTCAACTACCATTACCGTTCTTGTTTCATCTTCGCACCCCACACACGCTCTCACTTCCTCATCCCATGCTCCTCCCTCAGGCAGACGCAGAGAGACCGCAAAAAGCAATTGGGGAGGAAGATCAACACCGCCCCCACCGACTCTGCCTTAAAGCGCTTGTTTAGCCCCAACGACTCCCAAGGCGACGGTGACGCCTCCGACAAGACCGATTCCGACCTTGACTTCCAGGACTCTACCGCCCTCAAGGGCACTCTTTTGGCCGGTTTCTTGCTCCTCGGTGTCATTGGCGGTTTTGCCTCCGTTGGCTACATCTACCGGGACAACATCAATTCCTTCTTAAACCAACTCTCCCTTTTTATCGAAGGTCCTTTTTCCTCTCCTTTTCTCTTCTTTTATCTATTTATCTTATGTAACCTCTCTATCTTTTATCCGTCAGGTTATGGCCCTGTTGGATATGCATTATTCGTTGCCGTTTATGCTGGATTGGAGGTATCAATGCTTTAGATTTCCTTCCATTTTCGTTCAACTTCTTACTCTTTACTCAACCCCTCTTTGTATCTCACAACTTCGCATCCACATTCTCTTCTCTCTCATCTTTATACTACACCACTGAGTAAATCATAAGAATGGCCATTCACTTTTTGCCTTCATCGCCTTCATTTTATGTTTCTTCTCTCCACCAAAATCTCTCCCCCGTTTTCTACTGTGCTTCTGTAATGCTTCTATCTAAATTTGGTTTATTTAATGTCGTCCCAGATCCTTGCGATTCCTGCCATTCCTTTAACCATGTCAGCTGGACTTCTATTTGGATCCGTTGTTGGCACTATCATAGTCTCTATCAGTGGAACGGTGAGTCAATTCTGTGAAAAGGATACGAGGCAAACCTACTTGCACACACAGTTCATTTATAGTCGAAATCAGTTGACTGCATTATTTGCAAATATTTTTCCTTTTGTTGACATTTTTTAATGCTACCAACTAGCACTTTTCAAAGTATAATTTACAGTCTATTATTTGATCATATACTTGTTAATATTCAACACCTGTTACACATCTAAGATTTTGCGGGCAAGAGCAAACAATTACCTTGTAAGTGAATTATTGCACTGTTCGGCATCATATTTTATTTGAAATTATTACCGGGGTAAAGAAGTATACAATTTTTTATGGTGTTAATTAATTCTAGCGGTATTTATATTTTTAATCTAATATTTTTAAGGCATTCCAGGTGGCAGCCAGTGTTGCTTTTCTAATTGCAAGATATTTTGCTCGTGAGCGTATTGTAAAACTAGTGGAAGGAAATAAGAAGTTTCTTGCTATTGACAAAGCAATTGGAGAAAATGGCTTCAGGGTTGTGACCCTGCTTCGTTTGAGTCCTCTGCTGCCATTTTCTTTGGGGAATTATTTATATGGATTGACATCTGTTAAGTTTATTCCATATGTATTGGGCAGGTATGGTGCATATTACTGACCAATACCAATGTTATTCTGATTATCAGTTCCTTTTTAAAATAATTTTTATGTAAGAAAAACTGTGTTCTAGAGGCGTTGGAAGAGCATATTTTGAGCTCGTCTATTATTCTCAGATTTTGGATTTAGGGTCTAATTGTACTCTTCAAAACCCACTTGTAAATTATTTAAGCACTAACTAGGTGTTTGGGTAAGCTTATGGATGTGACCTATGACCTTATAAGCTCCGTTAGCTTATATAAATAAGCTTCATAACGAAGTTTATTAAATTAAGGTACACACATTCATGTAATATGTTCTTATTAAATAAGTGCTTAATTAAATTATTTACCCAAATGCAACCTTTTATATGTTATTTTGAGTTCTTGTGTAATCCATGCTAAATGGGTAAAAAGGAAGATAAAAGAACAAAATTATTTTATGCATGATTGTGCTTGTATATTCTAGTACATAGTGGCAAAATTTGTATTTGGTGTTCAATTTTTACCCTGTACGAATGCTATCCTAAAAAGTAGTTAGTTTCAGCAAACTCTTTTCTTTCTGTTTTATTTTTTTTCCCTCTGGCTAAACATAAAAACCATAATAATTTTATAAAAGGGTAATTGTTCGATTACGACTTCATACTTTTATTCCACTAAGTGAGGTCGATTACATGAATTACACAGTTCCATTTTGATAGTTTTACTCAAGGACAAGTCTTTGAACCACGCTTTGTTTCTGTAACAATAATGTAAGCATAACTGGTCTCTAAATTTTGACATGTGATATCTGTAGCTTCATGTTGATTCTACAGAAAATGTAATTGCTCTTCAATGATTTTTAATGTCTTGTTTTTATGAACTGATGAATGTACTGAAAACATTGAACTTAAAAGTCAGGTACCTATCTAAAAATTTGGTCTGACAATTCCAGATATAGGCAGCTTCATGAGAATAACTTTGTTTTCAATTCACCAGGGTGGATGTTGTTATAAATTGTGATTGATTAGTTGAATTAAAGTATAGCTAAATTGTAATAAAATGTAGTTAAAATGAAACTGGGCATATTTTTGTTTTGTACGTATTTGGAACTGTCTCGACATAATTATCCAGAACTGCATTTGGACATCTAAAGTTCTGAAATTCTGTCTTACAACTGATCATTGTTTTGCAGTTGGTTGGGGATGCTTCCGGGAACATGGGCTTATGTTAGTGCAGGTGCTTTTGGAAGAGCAATAATTGTGAGTCTGTACCTGGTCTTTCTCCCTATTCTTTCTTGGTTACTCAATCATTATTGGAATTTTTTTTCACTCTTCATTAGCTAAATGTTTATGCTTTCTTTTCATCCTTTTGTGTTTGTTTCGTGGGAGGGTTATGAGACGGTGATAAAGAAATGGATAATGCGTAAAGACATATTGATGTACTGCTAGGTATTGTTTCTAACAAAGATATTACTGCAGTTGTTTATTGCCAATATAAAAAAAAAACTTGCTGCAAAGCCAGTTTTGTGTACCTTTGGCAGAAACAATGGAAAACTGAGAAGGTTAGGGCACTGAGGAGGACTTAAGGGGTATTTTCGTTTAATTTGAGATAAGTGTCAATTACATTTCATATGTTGTATTGTGTTGCATCCATGATTGCAAGAGGTATCTTCTAGGTAGTGTGTAGTATAAGGAATATGTTAACATTCCTTGGAAAGTTACTTTGTGAATTAGTGAGAATAAACTTTCTTTGAGAAGTGAAAGTAAAACTTTCCTGTGATATAGTCGACTATAAAGTCACTAAATTTTCTATCGGTGATTGAAATTAATGTAGTATTCTTGCAGAAGTTGAGTATAACCAAACATAATTTATTAAACTTTTAAGCAAAGCAGATTAATTGAGAATGAAATTTTCCCTACACTAAATGCAGCGACAAAAGTTATAAAATAGATTCAGCAGAGTTTATGGTTTTCACCTTTCGTTTGTTGATGATGCTATCCTTTAATGGACGATGATAGTGACATTTTAGTTAATGATCTCTCTAAATTCAAGTTATTTAAGGTTATCCCACTCTCTTTTTTGAAGGTTAATGGTTTTAATATGGATAGTAGGATGTTTTCTACTTTGGCTTCTCTGTCTAGACTAGACCAGAAAGGGACAATACATTTTTCTTTTCTTTTTTAATTTTTGAGGATGAGGTGAGACACTGTCTGGTTTGAAAAATGAATATTGCCAATGGAAACTGATGGGGAGAGTGAACACCTAACAATTGATCATAGGCATTCCTTTATATATATATATATATATATATTAGTAGATATCAGAGATATTATTCATGTTTTTGTTTTCCTGGATTTCTTTCCTAGTTTCCTTAGATAACATATTGTACAATATATGATGAAATACAACACAGTTCATTCTCCGAAGTGGAGCACTTGGTTTGTCTGAAATTGTTGTTCAGTTACCATAGGAACTGGAACCTGAACCTTGCTAACACGGGCTGTAGTTGATGTTAGGTACCACCATCACTTGCCTCAAGATTTCTGGTCAGTCTACACTCTAGGGTGCTGCTGCCAGAAAGCTGTTGATGCACCTCCATGAGTAGCTTTTGCATTGCTGCTCCATTGACACATGGTTCATACTCCACCTTTGCCATCATTTTCATCAAAAAGATACATAGTAATTGTTGAGACATGTTTGTTTATTTGTCTTTTTGTATTCTTTTTGTACGTTCCTTAGGCTAGGGTTAAGGATTTGGACTGAAGCCCATATTCTCTCTTTTGTATCCTTTATCTATAAATACAATGGAACAATGCTTTTAGACATTGCATGGAATCCTAAATAAGTTTCTCAAGTTGGTATTAGAGTGGGTAAGATCCCATACTGATTTTCGATCATCCTTGTCATCTTTGGTCACCGTGGGCCGTCGTCGTTGCTACCACCGTCTCAGTTTTGTCTAATGAAGGTGGGTTTTGTGCGCCTTGAAGAGAGTGACTCATCCCTGCCAATCGCTCCTCCATTCGTGGCCTCACGTGTTGTCACGCTCTGCTTCGCTAGGAGAAGCTTTCAAGCACGTGTGTCCCACGCATCGCCTTCTAGTGGCTAGAATCAAGTTCGATCACATCAATCAACTTGTCGGCGTCTTTCGAGTCTAGTGGTGCCTTTACTTTTCTGTTTTGGGAACTTTGAAAACTAGGTCACATGGGTAACCCTATTGGTTAGGTCTATTTTTCATCTCTGATTCAAATGGCTTCATCTAGTGCTTTTCCTTTCTATGCCACTCCCACCATAACGAGTGTTAAGCTCAACTGAAAAATTATCTATCTTTGTTTGGTTTCTAAGTCAGGGGTATCATGACCATCTGGAGAAAGATGTAAATTTATTTCTGCCTTATAAAGGCCTCATTAGGAGAAAATAGATTTCCAACTTTGTGCAATCTTATGGCAGTCTATAGAACTTGAAGTTCTTGAACTTCTCAGGTCATTTAAAACCTACTCTTTGTTTTTGAAAAAAAGGCTTAAGACATTTTTGCTAACGATAATCAACGTTTCTTTGATGCTTAGGTCACTCAAAACCTGCTCTTTAGTTTGGAAAAAGACTTAAAACATTTTTTCTAATGATATTTGTTGAATATAGGGAAAAACTGTATAGGGTTAATTTCCCTTATGTATTTACCACACATAGGGCAGTGTATTTATAATAAAGAAAGGTACTCCTCAAAAGAGTAACAGAATACAAATAGGGTAAATAAAAAGATATTATTTGATATTGTGATTAACAATATCTAACAATATCTCAACAAAACAATATCAACTAATATCTAATCATATCTAACACTCCCCCTCAAGCTGGAGCATACAAATCGTATGTGCCTAGCTTGGTACAAAGATAATCCATCCTAGGTCCCCGTAAAGACTTAGTGAAAATATCTCGCTAATTGATCACATGAGTTAACGAACTCGGTCTTGATGTCTCCAGACATAATCTTTTCCCGAATAAAATGGCAGATCAATCTCAATGTGTTTAGTCCTCTCATGAAAGATAGGATTAGAGCTTATATGGAGAGCGACTGATTGTCACACACTAGTGTCATTTGAGTGACATCTCCAAATTGTAGCTCTTTAAGCAATTGCTTGAGCCAAATAAGTTCACGAGTAGCCGAGGCCATAGCTCTATACTCGCTTCGCACTCGGATCTTGCCACAACACTTTGTTTCTTACTTTTCCATGAGATCAAGTTACCACCAATGGAAACACAATACCCGGATGTAGATCTTCTATCGTAGGGAGATCCCGCCTAATCGACATCCGAATAGCAGACAACTCTTGTATGATTATGGGAGTCATACACCAAACCTTTTCCAGGAGACTTTTTGATGTACTTCAATATACGGATGATCGCATTCCAATGATCTTGACAAGGAGAATTGAGGAATTGACTCACCACACCGATCGCAAAGGAAATGTCGGGCGAGTAACCGTAAGATAATTTAATTTTCCAACTAATCTTCTATACTCGTTCGGGATCCGACATTGGCTCCCCCGATTTGGCAAGAGTTTGGTATTAGGATCCATGGGTGTGTCAACGAGCTTTGAATTCATCAACCCAGCTTTCCTCCAAAATATCCAATGCATACTTTCTTTGAGATATAACAATGCCATCGGTAGATTGTGCTACCTCAATACCCAAGAAATATCCGAGTTTGCCAAGATCTTTGGTTTGAAAATGGTGGCAAAGGTGTTGTTTCATCCGAGAGATGCCATGATGGTCACTACTCGTAAGAACAATGTCATCGACATACACTATCAAATAGATACATCCAACGATTCGAGTGACTGTAAAAGACCGAGTGGTCTCGCCTCACTTCTAGTCATGCCAAATTGTTGAACAACGTCGCTAAATTTTTCAAACCAGGCCCTAGGAGACTCGTTTTAGGCCATATAAAGATTTGCGAAGACGACATACCAATCCGGAAGACTCCCCCGAGCAACAAATCCGGAGGTTGCTCCATATAAATCTCTTCTTGCAAATCGCCATTCAAGAAAGCATTTTTGACATCCAGTTGATAAAGAGGCCATTGTTGAATAGCGACCATGACAATGAATAAACGAACGAAGCCATCTTTGCCACTGGAGAGAAAGTATCACCATAATCCAACCCAAAAATTTGGGTATAGCCTTTGGCTACAAGGCGAGCTTTGAGGCGATCAATAGTACCATCAGGACCAACCTTGATAGCGAAGACCCACCCGCAACCAACAACAGATTTTCCAAATGGTAATGGGACAAGCGTCCAAGTTCCACTAGTCTAAAGAGCACCGAGTTCATCTAGCATGGCCCGACGCCAACCAGGGTGGGCTAAGGCTTCGAGAGACGATTTAGGAATAGACACGGAAGAAATAGACGAGAGACAGGTATAAAATGGTGAAGAAATTCGATGATAACTTAAAGCAAGTATAATGTGGAGAAGGATTACGAGTAGAACGCGTACCTTTACGAAGGGCAATAGGAAGGTCGGACTCGTGGACTGAACCGGAGGAGGCGAGTATTTGGCACCGGGAGTGAGTCATGTGGCGTCTGTTGTGGGCGAGGTCTCGCGACTATAAACCCGAAGGGGTGGTGGAGGAGGAGGGGCTAATGGTGGATGGTCCTCAACATAAGGATCAATGAGAACGAGGAATGGGAACCGTAGCAGATGGAGACTCAGCAGGTAGGGAAGGGTCCTTAAAATAAAAGGAAAACTCATTGAAGGTGACATCGGCAAACACAAAATAGCGATTAAGAGAAGGAGAAAAACACTTGTATCCTTTTTGGGATCGAGTAAATCCTAAGAAAACACATTTGTGTGATCGAGGAGATAACTTATCATGACCAGGATCAAAATTGTGGACAAAACAGGTAGACCCAAAAACCTTCGGAGGTAAAGGATGGAGAGTGTCATGAGGAAATAAAATAGAATGGGGAATTTTGTTATCTAAAATCGAAGAGGGCATACGATTAATAAGATAACAAGCAAGAAGAACAAGATCACCCCAAAAATGTTGAGGAACCTCACCATGAATTAAAAGAGTACGGGTTGTTTCAATAAGGTGTCTATTCTTGCGCTCGACCACCCCATTTTGTTGAGGGGTATAAGCACAGGAAGTTTGATGAAGAATGCCATGAGAAGCCATAAATTGTTTAAACGAGTTTGAAAGATATTCACGGCCATTATCACTTCGAAAAGTTTGAATAGAGACACCAAATTGATTTTTAATTTCATGATAAAAGTTTTGGAATATAGAAAACAACTCGTAACGATTTTTCATTAAAAATAACCAAGTACAACGAGAGAAATCATCAATAAAAGTAACAAAATAGTGAAAACCTAAATTAGACTTAACACGACTGGGTCCCCAAATGTCGAGTGAACTAAGGCAAAGGGGGATGAAGCACGCTGGGAAACACTACGAGAAAAGGAAGTACGACTATGTTTGCCTAACCGACAGGACTCACACACCAAATTGGACAACCGGGATAAGCCGGGAACAAGTTGCTCGTAATTTGCGCAGATCGGGGTGACCAAGCCGAGCATGAAGGAGAGAAGGAGACTCCATAACCGTGCCAACATGTGGAGAAGGTTGAAGATAATAAAGTCCATGTGACTCACATCCGGTGCCAATCACTCTTTGCGAGCTCCTGTCCCGTAGGGAAACGAAGTTTTGGTAAAAGAGATAACACAATCAAGAGATCGAGTTAGACGGCTAATGGATAATAAGTTAAAGGGGGACCCGGTACATACAAAACATTATCAATGGACAACGAGGGAAAAAGAGTAACCGTTCCAACACCATGAGCTAAAGTTGTAGACCCATTAGCCATTGTAACGGAGGGTAAATTATGAGAAGAAGTGAAAGAGGAAAATAAGGATTTGTTACCGAGTGATGTGATCGGTGGCGCTCGAGTCAAGAACCCAAGGGCCAATAGAAGAAGAGTGAGTCGGACCAAAGAAAAGATGTACCGTGTGGGCAATGAAGTAGTGGAACCTGGAGGGCTTTCGATCCTCATACCATTGAAGAAAATCATTGAAGATAGCGCATTTGTCTCGAAGGTACGGACGAAGGAGGATCCACAAGCAGAGGATTGTGCGTAAGAATCGGCCCGAGCAACTGCAGCAGATCGGCGAGGATAACCATGTAAAGCATAACATTTGTCAATTTTGTGGCCTAGTTTGCCACAATGGTCACACTTGACACGCCCTTTGCCTGGCTTGTGAGAGCGATTACGATCATCACGGTGAGAGGCCAAGGCGAGATGAATCATTAGAAACTACGGGGGAATATTGAGAGGTTTACATGGCACCCGCAAAAGGGAGGAACTGGTAGCGGTAAAACTGGGTGTAACAGGGGAACCCAAAATCCGGTCACGAACAGGGGCATATTTATCGGCAAGTCCGTGTAACATCAAAACCATGAAAACCTTTGATCGTTGCTCTAATTCTTGGGCAGGAGTCGAGGCAGGGGGTAATAACTCATTAAATTCATGGAGAAGAGCATGGATCTTACCCACATAATCCGCCACGGATCCTTATCTCGAGGAGCAATAACATCAAGAAGATTGTAA